GTGAGATGAACGCATAACTTATTTCACGTACAACCTCGTTGCTATAGAATCAATTATGCCAGTACACTAATGAACTGTAACACTTATGCTAGTACACTAATGAACTGTAACTACGGTTTATTAGTGCAACACCTATGTTGGTACACTAATGAACTGTAACACCTATTCTAGTACACTAATGAAGTGTAACACTTCTGCTAGTACACTAATGAACTGTAACTCAGGCTATTCAGCAGGCTTTCTGATAGGCTTAACATTGCTGTTGTTTCTCCCACTGAGTGCGTATTTGACACTAGATGTGAAACACTGTTTCGTACATTTCGAAGAGTACGTGTTGTTTTGCTGATTTTCATAGGAATAATCGACTGTCATTTTGTAATAATTGAAACATCTATTATATTTATCTCTACTATCTATCTATATATATTCTTTGTGTGACCTAATGGTTTCCATGTAGTCATGTGGTCGCTATTTGCAAATTATTCTAACCGATTGTATTAGCGAGACGTTCAGCCGGACTTTAAAAGGATTTTTCTTATTCTGTAATGTGGAAGAAACGGTGATATATACAGAACACTTCAATTCATAATCACAGAAATTACTTGAAATCTTAACTTATATTTTGAATGTAGCTCTAACGCTTGTCAAAATAGAAGCGTTACTCACAACTAAAGTGATAGTACAGTAATGAAACCAGACCCTGATTGTGCCGAGTTACTCGAGCGTAAGTAATAAAGGGTCAAGAGCGTGCAGGATGAGATCATGAAGACGTGAAGAGACCTTCACTGCTTCCTGGTCTTACCAACTCTCATGTCGTGACCGTGGCCATGGGTCTTGACTCTCCTTCACGAGCATTGCAGTTCTGCCTTTTATTCACCTCGCTATGTACGTAGCATAGGATATACCTTCACGAGGCGGATGTATGGTCACAAAGGAAAGTATTTGATCATTATTTAAAGTAACATAATTATAAGGAAGTTGGCCTGTTCGGGTAGTGAACTTCCTATTTTAATTCAGTTGGAAAAAATTACAAATATACAGACTACTCCGGAGCCATAGAATATCAATCAATTTAACAAAGCTATCACTCGATTTCAGTGACGTTTTAAGGCCGTCGGAGTTTTTTATTATCCATCGTGTCACCAACGATGCTGGCTTCGTTGAGACATGACCTCCATCTCATCCTTGTTCAGTCTCAAGCGATGAGGGCAGTCGGCTGTGGTTGAAACTCAACCTTTATTCCTGCCATCTGGCCCATGTGGAGGAATACGAGACATTGGTCAGCAAACTGAAGTGATGGAAATGTAAAAGTCTATGCACGTGTGTACTGCAGACTTTCTCTACCGCATCTATATGTGAATAACCCTTATAGGAGGCCTCATCGCTGGTTTACTATTGCCAGTTAACTGCTTCATGAGAGGTCATTTGGTGGATTCAGATGGTGTCACACTCACACAAGGTTCAAGCCTTCTCTACTAGTTAGGCTAAGTATCCTTATAACGCCTTGGGTCTTGTGCGAAAGTAAATGATACGAAATGACCGTCGAATTTGCCCTTTAGATTGCCTTTTTTTTTACTACGAGACTATTCTATTTATGATATATTTTATTTCGTTATGAGACTATCCTATTTATTCAATTTACGGTCTCGCCACGGTTCTATCCATAATGAAAGTAATTACCCGCATTTTTGTCGTGACAAACGTGATCAATCTCTCTCACTTTCCCCAAAAAAGGAAAAATTCTCCCTATATTTTCAATTTTTGTTAAGCTTATTTTTATTAAAATATGAACATTTGAGTGCTTCTGTCGACGTTGATGGTTGTCAAAACACATGTTCTTCACTCTAAAATTTATGTTAGTACTTTACTACTTTCATACTAGGTAACTTTAAAATTGATGTTAATACTTTCTAATTGGAAAATTGATTTGCCTATTTTAGTTTGAAAGTTACACTAAATTATTTTATTTGGTTTGCCAAGTAGTGTAGTCCAATTATTGTGTACCAAGTCTCTTCTCGTGATTATTAGAAGTGTAACCTGATAATCAACTGCAGATCCTCTTCATTTGTGTCTTCCTAATGTCGCAATTGAATCATAATGTTAGTCGTCAAATCCTCTTTGTGTGCGCGCTGGATTCCTTCTTTTCTTGTGTCACTAAACCGGAAAAGTGTAATTAAGGAATAAGGAGTTGACTATCTTAGCGATGCCAGTGCATGAGCTCGCCGCTTTGTATTGTTCATCCTGGGAGGCCAGGCTGTGTGCTGCCCATGACTCACGCACGACCTCTCGAGCGCCCCTCTGTGCCTGTATGGCTTGCCTTCTCTTGCTGCAGTTCCTGCTGCTTGCCTTCTCTTACTACAGTTCCTGTTGCTTGCCTTCTCTTACTACAGTTCCTGTTGCTTGCCTTCTCTTACTACAGTTCCTGTTGCTTGCCTTCTCTTACAACAGTTCCTGTTACTTGCCTTCTCTTACTGCAGTGTCTGTTGCTTGCCTTCTCTTGCTGCTGTTCCTCACACTACAATTGCTGCAGTCGCTACATTTGGAGCAGTCCATTACCTTTGTGGTAGTCATTACATCTGTTGCAGTAATTTCTTAGGTAAAATTTTAGTTTTTTAGTCGTTGTTGTTTCTACAACATTCTTTTTCCTCAAATTAGGAAGTTTGAATCAATCTAAAGCGCTAACGTAACTCTGGCGGTCATTTAAGTGCAACTGTTTTCAACATTCAATTCGTCTTATTCCTGATAATGCTCCTACCAGAACCCTGGAATCAGGCGAGTGGTGGTAACGGTGTAAAGAGTGAACGCACGTCAAGAGTTTGTTTGCTAAAGGATGGCGTGTCAAGCTCTCTGTTTGTGCTCCGACTCCCACATTCTTTTCCCCACTCTGCATCATCACATCGCGGCTCGTCACTCTCATGAAATATTATTTGTATGACACAGGTGTATGACTTATGCCACACTCTTGCACAAATGGTGAAGGCCATTGCTTCACGTTTTGTTCATGATCTTAACACCATGGAAGGTACGTTTCGTTTCGTACTTTCTCTTAATGTTGCCGGCACTTGTTTTGACGGCACCGTTGAACAGATGTAATGCCTGAAGTGGTGCACAAACTTTCTCGGTTACGTTACGCAAATGGCTGAGTTTGACGCCTGACATCTGCACTGCCGCAGCTTTTTGCGCGACGTGAAGAACTCTTCTGCTTTCGTGGTCGCTCTCTCCTGGCTTCTACCGCCACTCGACTGCACGAGGTGTGGTCCGCCTCCTGTTTTTTGGTTGCGTTTATCTGGGTTGTTGAGGAGGGGTGCTTGACTCATCGCTCTGTTTGTCAACGCAGTCCTGCTGCCGTTTGGTCACTTGACTCATCGCTCTGTGTGTCAACGCAGTCCTTCTGCTATTTGGTTGCTTGACTCATCGCGGTTTCCTTTCGTACTCGTGCAGCTGCATTTTCTTTTGCTGCTGCTATTCTCATAATCCTTGTTCGGACCGAACGACCGAGTGAGGTCTTTGGTGCTGTCATATGGCGTTCTGTTGTCGCTTAACTTTAGGTTTATGCAAGTCGTTACTTGCGTTCTCATCATCGCTCTACTCGTGGTCTTCTTGCGTCGTGGTTGTTTTGTCGCAGGTGCTTGCGGTCTGCTCGCAGGAGTAGTAAGGCATGCTCCCTCCAGTCTCGCATTATAACTCGCCGCTCTCGCACGTCACTTCGGCGCAGGCGAGTCGCGATACTCGTATCCTGGCTGTCGCCGAGGCTGTGAGCTTGTTTAGTATTCGCTGAATCTTGAACACGATCGCGTAGTGTCAACTCTGTGAACGATAACAACTCTGTGTGAGCAGTGTTAACTCTGTGCTTCAAAAATTATCGTAATGATTTGGATAAGGATTTATAGATCTACATCATCATGTTTCTGCACCCTAAATTCATTTGTATCCGATTTTTGTAGCCTTGTCGAATTTCGAAGCTGACCTATTAGTTTTCCGTGTTCTTCTCACGAGAGATGTCTATGTATATGTGTTTGAAGATGTTGATGTTATATTATTTCCGAATATTCAAAGTTACCTTAGTTACCTTATTCAAATTATTATGTCAGTTTGTTTTATTTCAAAATGCCAAGTGATTTAGTTTGATGATTTCACATTGATCAATGTCGAAAAATTAAATTTGTATTATAAAGAGGGAGAAAATGCGATTACATCTTGATTTGTAATTGAATTGGGTTCATGTTTATTTTAGAAGCATTTTAAAATCTGCTTGCAAGTATACATAATGTTACGGCTGACGGTGTATCGAAATGATACAAGACTTGTGTGCAGTGTGCGTGATCTAGTATCGGTGTTGTGGTATTACATGCAAGTTGATGTTGTAAGGCGGATTAGATAGCATGACTACGACAAATCCCTTAGCGATCTCGTCATATTTCTGAGTCAGTGATTTAAGGTAAAGTACGGATCACTTTGACAGTAATATATAAACCATGAATATTCTCAATTTCAACTTGAAACTAGAAACATCAGCTGCATTTTACTTTAAATATCATAGCTTACTCAATCACTTCAATTTAGAACTAGAAACCTCAGCTGTATTTTACGACTTAAAATCAGGGTTCCGTCACTCGTTGTCTGTACTACCACGAAGCCATTAAAAAGTCAACCTTTCGTTATGCTAATTTGTTCGAGATAAGAGGCATATATGCTGTTGAAATTCGCAGTGCACCCACCTCATAGAATAAAATGCAAGTGCGTAAATAAATAAATTCCTTACCTTGTGGCTCAATTCTTGAATTGAGTATTCAATGGAGGGCGATGCGTGTCCCGACATATCGATGTATACTAATGCAACTTATTATTGTAAGCCCTATCAATCGTCTTAATAAGTAAGGCTTTACTCGGAAACATGGCTGGATGTGGTTACAGTTATTGAGGTATTTTTGTATTGCTGCTTAGTGAGAGATAAATTTGGGGTCATTTGCCCATTATAATGAAGTAAATTACCTTTCAGACTTCTGACGCGTTCATTTTTTAGCAATCAATTTTTTTATTAAGTAGGTAGTTAAATTCATATATTGTCCGTAATGCATCGTCAGAGATACAACTTGAAGGGCTTGATGAGCGATGTCTTTGGCTCGGACAAGGGAGACGATGCATCGTCGGAAGGCAAGCTTCCGTTGCTTGATATGAGTGCAGCTGTGTTTAGTTTGGGACAGTATCCAATACCCGAAGAAAACGGGCAATTCTCTGAAGTTTCTATTGTTCGAGGGCAAACCCCTGTGAACGAAGTTACTTCCGACACAGCCGCAACAAGTGATGAAACTGGTGATGCAAATGATGAAAATGGCGTAGGAGAAACTCTTAAGTTGATGCTGGATGTTCGGCAACGTTCGGAATTCGAAGCCTATGCCAAAAGGATGCCTGGACTGGTAAATATTCCTATTTTTGTTGTACATTCTTGCAACTCACGAGTCGTTCTTGAACATTATTCACACGATATGGCATGAACTAAACATTGAACAAAAATGTAATAGATGCTTTAGCATCAGAATTATGAACTCTCCTGCTCATAGCGGCAAAATTTGCCATTGTTCTCTTGAAGCTATTCAAATCTTGAACGTGAAGTGGATCGGGATTTGACGTTTGTAAGCCGATTGAGAATAATTAACGATAAGGCTTTTTAATGTTGCGAGTGGCTTTTTCTTTACTAAATTTTCCTTCCCCTCTTGTTTGTGGCATAGGAGAAGGCGTGCATGGGGGCGATAATGTATACGTAGAAGCCACATGCAGAGTTAGTTTATCTTGATACTCAAGTTGTCTCTCTCTCTGCGCGGTGTATCCTGTTTACTCTAGCTGGTAACCGACGGGACGGTAGGCTGACGTCACTCAAGTCTCGACCACTTCATTGCAGAGCAAGACCAATTTGCATGATGAAAATTTCTGAAATTAATATTCAATTTCTAACTTTTTTCATTCTGTGCAAAGTAGTTTTTTACTAAATTTTTTATAATTAATTCTGCAATTAGGTGAATATTGAAATAAAGAGCAAAAATGCGCATTACTAATCCACATAATTCATACAATACATTTTCGTAGAGTACTTTATTTTAGTAGCTTCATGAGGTGAAAGCTGTTAAACTTGTGTGTTGTAAAGTGAGTAAGCCTTATTCAGTGCCAAGGAGGTTTTCTATGCTTGCTAGTAAGGTCGTTTTACAATTTTTATTTTCGGTGTGGAAGGAATTCCCGAAGTGGATGAGAGTGGATGTCAGTGTGGATGAGAGAAGAACGGCAGTGTGGATGAGAGAAGAGCGGCAGTGTGGATGAGAGAAGAGTGGCAGTGTGGATGAGAGAAGAGTGGCAGTGTGGATGAGAGAACTGTGGCAGTGTGGATGCTGTCTCTTATACACATCTAGATGTGTATAAGAGACAGNAGTGCATATGAGGGGTGGAGATGGAGGCATGGTGGAGTGGGTGTGAGGGAGTAGAGACGAGGGTGCATATGAGGGGTGGAGATGGAGGCATGGTGGAGTGGGTGTGAGGGAGTAGAGACGAGGGTGCATATGAGGGGTGGAGATGGAGGCATGGTGGAGTGGGTGTGAGGGAGTAGAGACGAGGGTGCTATTGTGTGGCCACTTTTCTAGAGTAACGGACTCTGATGTATGTGTCGTCACGCTCTGTATAATGCTTGTGTTCTTCATTCTTCGGTGCTGGTGACGGTGGTGAAGTGATGGCTAGAGATTTTGGTGAAACCGTGGTGGTAATTTTGGTGAACTGGTGGTGATGGTGGTTGTGAAGTGCTAAAGAGGTGATGTTGGTGAGGTCATAAGGTGGTGGTATTGCTGATGGGAATGTTATGGTAATAGTGGTGTGGTGATGATGCCGACGTTTTAGCGATGGTGGTAGTGTCGTCTGTAGTAATAGTGCTAAATTGATGGTTTCGGCGAAGTGGTACAAAAAAAAGTGATGGGAACGCCGTTTTTCAGCATTACTGCGTTCCCATTCACAACCATTGAATGTACGCACACGACTATTCAATTGGGCTATGTGCACGCACAACAGGTAAACCTTCATTGATAATAAAAACCTTCATGAGCGATAAGCCTCTCAGATAATGCCATCTGTTAACGTGGACACGGAACTGACACTTCACCTCCAGTAGCAGCTTATGGCTGCTTCAAAGGCGCTGATTTTGGTATTTTCCGTACCAGCCTGGTACTTGCGGTACAATTATATTATGGCTACACTAGTAGATATTCTCGTAACAAGCGGTTATGTTCCGAACTAATCGGTGGTGCTGAGGAATGTTCGAAGTGCCTGGTAATATAGGCACTAGGCATTGCCTTGAATGTATCTGGTACTGTAGCCAGTGGTTCAATCAAGAATGTTATCCAGGGCTTCTAATGTTTCGTTCCTGTTTAATTTAACAGGAATTCGTGTATTCTAATATTGTTTGACTTGATGCCCGATGTCAACTCGCGGGATTATTTTTTCCAATCTTCACTGCCACGGTTATTAATATCTGATCCGTAAACATAAACAAATCGTATTAACACTAGAAACTTCCTATTACTTCTGTGTTGCCCGTCACAGGCTTAAGCATACATAATGCTATTTTTTTAATCAGAGTATTAATAATGTTATATCCTGGAGTAGTGGAGTAATAAATTTCCGGATGTGATTTTCTAGTCTCACGTGAACACGACCGCTGGCGTCGGCGAGCGACTCGGCGAAACCGTGACTGACAGTTGGTCAGTCGAGCCACGGACGTTGTCGGGTGTGGGTGTGATCGTTTCGCTAGCCCAAGTTTTAAAGGTTTAAAATTCAAGTGCTACACCGAACTTCTGGAAAAAACTATACCATTTCGTGGTGGATTAGTAGTCTCATTTGTGAATGGAATTGTTCATTAACATTTGATTAATTAGTATTTTTTGTTGAGCGCAACTGCCGGTTGGCCGTGAGAGGAACGTCGCGGTTCTCATGAACAATCTTTGGAAACTTACTGAGATGTTCACAATTTCTTACGATTTCAATTGTATTCTGAGTAACTGATTTGATTAGTCCTCATGTATAATGTATAATATAATCTGCTTTCACTTTAGGATAAATGTCTTCCAATCCCAATAAAAATTCCAAGTTTATTCGGATAAAAGTACCAAATAGCTCTAGATACGTGTTGTTAAATATGACATGATGCTGTCTTCCTTAATCAGAGCAGCAGTAGGTACCAATACCATAACTCCTTGTTATCGAGTATCATTTATAGGTCTCGTAAAGTGACGTGTCATCAATTAATAATAAAATTAGTAGTATGTAATTGATATTTTTCGTGTATTTAGTTTTACCTACCTAATGTGTGTATAATGATGAATATAATTTTTGATTGACATTAATTAAATGGCGGCACACGATTCAAAATTAAATTTCAAATTGTTGTCATAGTATCTTGTGTTAAGCCGTAAACATATCGACGAAACAAATAATAGAATACTAAAAATCCTTCAAGCTGAGAATAGGTATTCGCATGCCCTTGCCGGCCTTGCGTACCTAGTACGTACTAGCTAGTAGGTGCCTAGGTAGTAGTACGCGTACCACACTTAGAGACCTCTGACCTAGAGGCTTAGAGGCTCAAGGCGTATCTAGAGGCTTAAGCGTATCTAGAGGCTCAGGCGTATCTAGAGGCTCAAGCGTATCTAAATGATACTCTTGGTTATCGCCCGGACAGGAGGAAGTTCTCATGTAATACTCGTGCACTAGCTTCTTATTTATCTTGTTTTTAACATTCTTCGTGCTCCAACGTCATTCCTAATACTGTATAGCCTAGCATAAATTCTGTTTAGTTCCTAAGGAATAAGTATCAGGGAAGTGGTTTGCTACTGGGCTATGTACCAAGCGTGAGTCATCCGCTCCAGAACACGTGTACATTGCTGGGTGCTGACCTATCCACAAACACACATGTGTGCTGTGAGCCTGTGTGTATACTGACATCTTACTCAAGAATTGTGATGACATCGGCTCCTCATTGGCGACTTTGTATTCAGATTTTGAACTCGACTCTCATGCTCTTGTCGCGTATGTAACATCCGAAAGAACCTAGTAGTAGTTCCGCGCATTACTCGTATTTGAAATGTGGCAGTCGCCCGCCTGTCCAGACTTGTACGTGATACCATTATTCCCTCTAATATTCCCGTGATATCTCGATCGTGTTAATTATCCCTCTACCGCCGTATGTCACTCTCCGGGAACATAACTTTCAGCTTAAATTATACGTAAACTATTGAGTGTAGCAACCTGAGGACGTTTGTACGCAACAGAGAACATTTTAATGTTGTACGTGGCGGCGACCATCAGTGCAAGTCATTTTGCGCTCACTAGAACGTAACCTTTTTGGGAAGTAGGCGCGTGACAACATTGTTCCGGTTACTAATATTATTAATATTACCAATATTATTATATTATATTAGTAATATTAATATACTACTATTATCGCTGGGCGGTATGGAGTGTAATATCGTGTCAGGCGGTAGAGGGTTGAAAGATTCGCTCGTTGGTCGTTAGTTGACACGGATCACACCTGCGCAGACGCTCGAGGTGCTGTCCACTCCATGGAACTCTTGCTCTCGTATATTCCGCGTGTTCCGTTTTCTGCACCGCCTTCTACTCCTGATGCCTTGAGTAAATCTTTTAGCTTGGTAATGCAGTATCATGATATAGTATTAGTGTTTTCTGTTTAGTTTAAATTGACACTTGTTATCTGTTAATTTTTATAATGCTGTTAATTTTTCTCGATATAAATGAGATTTCATCCTGAAAATTTCTTGTACATGGAATGAAATCAGCATGATGTCGTAATCGCCTAAAACGTTATTAAATTTATAACAATTCGTTTAGTTGTTGCCACAATAAAAGCGCGTTACCTTTCAAATTACCATGACAATAGAACTGTAATCTAGCTTTGGTTTAGATGCTGTGTGGACGATTGAATGTTCTCAGTGGAGATTTTTGGTAATCGCAATTCAGTACCTATGCAAGTTATACTTCATTCATTGCATTTCTCGCCGCTATCTGGTAATTTTAATGCATTGCCATGAATTCCTGGTTGGATGATTCAATAAGTAACCTACATATTGCCTAGCATTTTAGTTGATAACACGACAATAATAATTGCAGTTAGTTGATTATGTGTACGAAATTCAGGGTCATCTGGCTTCTGTAATTAGTTCGATTCGCGGATCAAGCACTGCTTTATGTATATTATTATTCAGCATGCCTATAATGCAGGAGAATATTTCAAACTTCTAAGATTATAACGCCCGTTGTTGTGGGTGGGTCTGTGGGAGCTGTGAGACTGGCAGCTCCCTCAGCGTCTTCCGGTAGGAGTGGGGGTGTGGTTTTCTGTGAGGGGAGGGAGGGAGGGGTGTAGGAGGGGGAC